GTCAGACATAAATTGGCGGTATAGGGGCTTTTTTCATGCTACCGATAAAATTCCGGATATTTATGTCGCGGACTGTATTTTTTTCTTTGTGAAGATTTTGATTTACTTATTGTAGTTTATACAGCTTCTAATTATAGTTAGATAAATTTTGCAGAATGGATTATGAGTACTTTAAATTTACAGTAGGTCTTCAAAGTATTAATCAAATACACTCTAAATTTAAAGTTTTATTTAAAGTGGTAATACATTAGATGATATATGAAAAAAGCTTAAGAATTTATTGAATTAAAATCTGAATTAAAAGAAAATATAATAAGCATTCAAAAATTATTAAATAATAAAACAGAATGACTTTTATTTAAAGATAAAAAATTCAAAATATCATGATCTAGCAAGTGAAAAAAGCATTATCAAATTATTTGAGATAAAGTTTAAAATTTTTTTTTTAGTTTTATATTTATAAAATTTTTATTTTTATACAGTTCATTTTTAACATAGAATCAACTTTGAAAATTGATGAAATTACACAAATACAAATACATCATCATCCTGCACTAGTTAAATTTATAAAAACTTATTACTGTGTATATATTTATAGCTTTTAGGTATATTTATAATATATTAATTTTCTTATATTTTAGTATTAATAAACATTTTATTCTAAAGGTAAAAAAATGTAATTATCTTACCTAAAGATAGTTCTCATAATTATTTTCAAATTTAATTAAGTTGCAATTTAATTGCACCATAAGAAAATTTAATTGCGTCACAAGTTGTAATTCAATTGTGCTATATTTTTTAATTGCAATACTCATCTTTAATCCTATTAGCATATATTGTAAACTAATTTATCTTCTATTATCTGAATTTTGTAATCTAAGTTTTCTTTTAGACCTGATTCCTTTACAAGGTAATTTATTATATTTTATATAATTGACATTAATTAAATAAGAATAAATTTTTTCAAAAAAATTAGATAATACAGATTATTATACGACTTTTTAAAATGTTTATAAAACTGAAACTACTGAAGAATATAAACCAATATACATGCAAATATAAGTAAATAAAAAATATATTTTGAAGTTTATTTTGGTTATATCAAAAATCTGTAGTTATATTAATTGTAAAGATTGTGAAAAATGTTGCTATATATATAGTGAAAAATCTCTGACTCATTAGGAATAAGTAGATTTTTAACAAGTATTAGAATTATATTCATATTTTTGTAATGTATCAATTTTTTCTGATGATCACTATTTGAAGGAAGTTATATTTATACACATCTAAATCAGTTGTAACTCACTGATTGAAATATTGTATTTTTCAAGTCACAAATTAGGCAACTATCTAATTTGTTATTATTGTGAAGAAAGTGAAGACTTGATAAATCCTTCTTAATCTTTAAAAGAATGCTTTAGATAAATTTATCCTCTATGTGAATGATATCAAGAAAATAAAAAAGAATTTTATATTAAAGAGAGATTAAAACTAATAGATGCTCTTTTAAGTATTAAAAATATAAATGATTGATAAATCTAATAATTTTAAAAATGATTATCAGATTTATTTGTTAACAAAATTTTCAATAAAAAATATTAAAAATAAACTATAAATTTCATTTATATAATATATAAATTTTTATAAATATGTATTATTTTTAGTCCTCACTTTTTCTACAAACCTATGTTATGTTAAACAAATAATTAACTTAGTTTGACCTAACTATAATATTATTTTTTTTTATTATTATAATATATTTTGATTAAATTCACTTATTTAAATTAATTTTTTATATTATATTATTAAAAATTAACTAATAATTAAAGAAAAAATTTTTTATTTTTACAAATAAAACTTTTAAAATTTAAGTTTTTTAATAACATTTTTTATTATTATTTTGATTAAGTTTATTAAATAATAAGAAGACATATACAAATATAAATATTATTTATAATTATTAAAGATTTAATTAATAAAAAAATTTTAAGCATAAATATCATTTTTATATATTATTTATTAATTTTAACAAATAATTAATAAATCTAATATATAGTATTTGTGAATATAGATTAAAAGATATTTGAATTTAGAATTATATAAATATAAATATATTAACAATTTAATAGATTTAAAATTAAACATTAATAATACTTATTATTATTATCAAAAAAATTTATAATATAAATATTAAATCAGTTTAAATCCTTTTTTAATGATAAGAGATTGTAAGTATAAACTTATATAAAATAAATATCTTTTTAAAATAACTAATTTTATACTTATAGAATTATAAAAATTATAAAATGATTTTTAAAATAGTAATTTAATAATATGAGAAAATTTTTTTATAATAAATTAGAAATAAGCAATTAATATATTAGAATAATCTTAATAGATTATATTTAATATGTAAAAATTTTATTATTTAATATTTAATGATATAATAATTATTTAATTAGTAATTATAATTGAAATTAAATAGAATAATTGATTAATTTGATAAGAATTAATTTTAATTAATAAAAATTATTAAATAATAGTTTTTATTTTTATCTTTTTAAAGAATTTATATATCTGCTACTAAATTTGATAATTATTAATAAAATATAATATTATTATATTTTTTTTTAAAAAAAATACTTTAAGTTTATTAGAATTATTATATAAAGAATAATTAGAATTTAATATTAATTTTATAATATGATAATTAAACTATTTACAAAAATTTTTTATACTTAAAAATTCTAATAAATATTATTAAATTATATAAAATTGATATGATTAATTGAATATAAACTTTGATATTTCAAGATTTAAAAATAAAATAAATATAATATTATATTTATAATATTAATAAGTAATAAATTATAATCTTTTAAAATTTTTTTTAAAAAATAATATATTACTTTTGAAAGTTATTATATATGAATTATAAAAAGTAATTAATAATAAAATTTGATTAATAATAATCTAAATCAAATTTTTATTATTTAAATATAATAAATTTATATATAGAAACTTTATCAAAAAATTTTTTTGAATAAATATTAAATCTAAACTTATTTTATTAAAATAATTATATTTAATTTATAAAATTAAAATTAATGTTTTAATTTTTTATTATAAATATTATATATTATATAAAATATTAAATAATAAATAAAATAATATTTATTTATTTTTATATAAATTATAAATTATTATCTTAATAATTAAATTTAATAAAAATTAATTAGTAAAAATAATTTTTTGATAATAATCTTTAAATTTATATTCAAATTAATTAATTTAATAAAATAATAATATTTTTAATATTTTAAATATAATAAAATAAGAGTAAATTTATTCATCACATTCATAAAGCATTGCTTCTAAGTAAAACTAGATAATAGGGATTGTTGTGAGTCTGAAGCTCTTTGCATATTCTATGTTATTATTAATTATTAATAAATAAAACACTGATTATCTAACTATTAACAAATATGATTTTTTTATTATTATTATATGATTCGAATATAATATCACATGAACAAACAGACATATAGATAGACAGACAGATAGGCAGACAGAAACTATGATTTTCATATTGCATAAAAGTATATTATTCTTCGTTTATGTTCTAAACAATTATGTAATACTGACCAAAATTTAAATATGTAACATTTAACATAAGATGTGAAGAATAAATTTTTTTAATAAAAAAAATTTTAAATCCTTAGAATATATATGAAAAATGAAAAAGAAAAGTATAACAAAGATATCAAAAAGAAGACAATACATTATATATGTAATAAATAAATTATTTTTAAAAATAAATAAATAATTGATAAATAATATCAATTTTTTTAATTATAGAAAAAAAAAATCAATAATAAAAAATAAGAATTTAATATTATTTTATCTATTTTATTTTATATAATAATAAATAAAATAAAATTACATTATTTTTAATAATAAAATTTAAATATAAAATATAAAATAAATAAAAATTAGTTTTTAAAATAAAGATTATAAAAATAAGATTCAATAGTAAAATATAATAAGCTGTATAATACAAGTAAAATTTTAATATACAAAAAAAATTTATGAAAAGAATACATTAATAAATTAAATTAATAATATTTTAATAATATAATACTAAGATATTAAATATTATTATATTCTTGAATGCAATATAAATGTTATATGAAAGAGATAATTTTCTAAACAATTATGTCATCATTATTAACTGATTTATGTACTTTTGATAACTTATCTTTAGTTTTTTTCTGCATTGTTTTTATAACTTTTTTGACTTTTCCACTTCCTCCTATTACTCTTTTTCTCAATATTCCCAAAACACACCCTTGACATGAGCAATTTGCAAACGAATCGGAATTACTAACAATCGAATTCCTTGAAATTGTACCTGAATGTTCTAATGTTTGATTAATTCGAGAAAATTGTTTATTATAACTACGATGATGTGACAACGCCTCCATATTTCTAATAGAATCACGTTTTCGAATGTAGTAATATGGAAAAGGCAAGGAACCATTTGAAGGAACTGAAGTAAAAATAGGTGAAGTAGATGTAGATGAAGTCGATGTTTCAGCAAGTGTTTGCAATTTTTTGCTGGGGACGGGGATAGCTAATGATAAAGGTGATGGAATTTCAACAGATGTCGTAGAAGATGCAGGGGTTTCAAATGATGTTGTAGAAGGTGCAAGAATCTCAATTGATGTTGTAGAAGATGCATGATATCGCTGCGACTGTGAAGATGAAGAAGCAATTGGTTTTGACTGATTGTAGTTAGATGATCGTCTGACTGGAAATGATGTGATACGTGAGGTTGTTAAAGTACGTGAAGGCCTTTGAATAACTGGTGATAACTGGATTAGATGCGAAGTTGATAACGAACGTTGTCTATTCGGTGATACTAACGGCGGTGATAAAAATCGAATTTGGGATGACGGAGATGAAACCGAACGTTTTCGGGGTAGCTTGATCTGCGGTGGAAACGGCGAGGTTGATCGCCGGTTATTATAATTATCTCGCTGGTGATTCCTTACCCGAATCGAACCTAGTCAACTAAAATCGTCAATTGCTGATTGCTCTTTAAGAGAAACTTTATCCGATGCTTCTTCATAATAAAAGCCCAATATTTCAAGTTCTTCATCTTTGTACAGCATTTGTATATAATCTTCGCTAACCTCTCCATTGCTGTTGGGAGGTGACAACGAAGAAGGAAATAGTTTTGGTGAATTGTCTTCTTTAGGACGGAAATACCCCTGTAAAAGAACTTCCGTCAATTCTTTAACTAATACGGCTGGGTCTTCTTTGCTCATTCGCTCTATAATATCATATAATCCGTATTGTTCCACAACAGCTTCTCGTTGTGGATGTACATCACATACTGATTTTAAAATTCTCAGAAGATTTAATCTAACAACAGCTTTAGGATGTTCGAGCCTGCGCAATAAACGCTTGAAGAAATTTTGCTGTGCTAAAGCACACGTCACAGATGGAGACAATTGAGTCATAAGGTGCAACGGCTCAAGGATGTTTTCAAATGAATTTGCCTTTGAAGTAATAAACGCCTCAAGAATAAGATCAATATTTTTAGGTTGAAGTAATATTGGTTCAACCTTTTCGGTTTCTTCTTGCAACCATATAAGAATAGATTCTATAGCATTAACTTGCCAGAACGGATCAGACATCAAATCCAAATAAAGCTGTAAAATATTATGCTCCCACAATAATTCGCGACAATCCTTTCCAGTGTGAGCCATCTCACAAAGAATAGGCAATGCGAATTGTTTAAGTGGAACTTTGTTATAAGCAAAGTATTTCAAATGAGGGATAATTCCCGCATTTGCCGCTGCTTTTTGTCGAGATTTATTGATACGACAAAGGTTGTACATTGCATTGAGAACTTGGTTTGAAATTTCAGTGACATAAGGTGGACCTTGATCGTCAAGGATTCCGGTGAGAACTTGAATTGCTCCAGCATTTTGTAAGGCTTCCAATGTATTTGAATTCATAGATAAATTCTTAATGCATTTAAGCATCTTCACCATTAAATTTGGTGATAATTTGCCTAAAACTTCAAATATTCGAGAGACCACTCGGGTGCTAGTAGCCATAACTTCCTTTATATAAGCATCAGCTTGTGAGAACGTTAAGAGTATGTTGACAATTTTATCTATATAACCTGAAGCCAAAGAATCCGGATCGACAATTACATTATGTAAGGTTACCGATAACGGGTCAAGTAATCCATATTTTGATAATAATCTGCAAAAATCATTCTTAGGAGTTGGGCTTTGAAGTTCAAATACACTCCAAATTCCATTCACTGCTATCCATATTAATTCTTTACGTTCAGCATAATCCTCTTGTAAGAAATCTACCAATACTTTTAAACCCCGACAAGAAACGAACATCTGAAGAATTACTGGAGAAGTGTGACATATTTGCCTTATAAAAATAGCTGCTTCGAGCCGAATGTCATAAGTATGTATTCCAGAAGCGAAATTCATGATAATAGGTATTCCACCAACAAGACAAAGGGACTCCTGAAGGTTTATGTTGTCTTCAATAATGATATTCACAATTTTCAGTAAACTTGATAGAACATTTGTATAAGTGCAAATTTCCAATAGATCTATGATAGGAATAACTCCATGAAGCATAATAAAGTGATTCTTAAGTTCTTTATGTTCCGTTAATAATTCAATTAATTGCACACACGTAACGACTAAACGATCTTCATCCTCATTGGGCAACAAAGCATTTATAAGTTCTTCCAAACGTAAACAAGCTCGTGCGTATTTATCCCTGGCGATACGTGCATCCATATCCATTTCATCCTCATCGAATTCCTTTTCCATTTGAGTAAACGGATCATCATCATCACTAAGGTCATCTCCAAGCCAGCTGCTATTGGATAGTCGAGTATTTAGTTTCAAAGTTTGGCTCACACCATATTCGTCTTGACCATCAGTAGCAACAAAAACATCATCATAATCATCATCTTCGGGTTCACGATATTGATAAAATTCATTTGGAACCAAATCCTTTTGCTGTGTTGACGGCGTTTCTGGAGTTGGGGTAACGATTACCATTACATCTATTTGTTCCGCCGAAGCAACTCGTCTTATATTTTTTGCCGCATTCGCTGAAGATTTATCCGATGAAGATTCATGTGTTGATGTTGAATCTGAAAATCTCATCGTTCCGTTCTTTAGATTGTCCTGTATTGCTTGAGATTTAATAATACCCTCAAGGTTACTTGTGGAACGTGCATGTTTGGCGTTTTTTGACGACATATTTCTTGGAGCGATAACTGTATTAAATTCTACCGTGTTTGAAGTTATTAAATCTGAAAATTTTGAAATCGATGTTTCAGGAGCTGTAGATTTAATTTCTGTTGGATTTAACTTTATGACGGTATCTTGCATATATTCCCAATTACTACGCCTTTCAGACGAGTTTTCATTAATGCTAACACTTGTATGATTTTCTTTGCCGTTAGTTTTGGGAATACTTTCTTGGTGTGAAACTTTCTGAACCATTTGAAATTGACTAGGTTTAATAGTTTGTGTGTTATCATCATCAATTTGGCTAATTTGCTTATTTTGATGTGCAGTGATCTTTGTTAAAGATAAAGATTCTGCGAAATCATCATCCCAATTATCGGTTTCATCGTCAGGTTCTGCAATTGCAACCGATAATCGATTTTGCTGTGTGGTGGAATTATTGTTTATAACATTAGGAACGTACCCCATGAAATTATCACCTCTGTTATTCTCAGTTGATACCGGAATGTTTGGTAATTTTGACGGTGGTGATGAACTTGGATTATTATAATTAGGTGATTGGGTTTGTTGAACCACTTTAAAATTTGACGGAAAAGAAGCGGCTGATCTTATGGACTCACTTCTCCTCCTGTATTTATATTTTGGATTCTCTATAGCCTGATTCCATTCTTGAACTTTCTTTATCGTTTCTTCCGTTTTTATTTGTTGAAGTACTGAATCTTTAGCCCTCTTACGAACACCAGCTATCCAAGAATGTTTTAATAATCTTCGGGCGGAAACTCGACGATTACCATCCTTTTGAAAACATTGCAAAAGGAAATCTTTCACAGCAGGTGAAGCACTTTCAGGCAAGGGAGGATGTTCATCCTGAACAATACGGAAAAGTGCAGGCATTGGATCCAAATGATGATAAGGAGGTTTTCCTTCCATAAGTTCAATTACGACACACCCAACACTCCAAATATCCGATGAAGTAGTAGCACCAGATAATTCAATTATTTCTGGAGCCATCCAATAAGGTGACCCAACTACAGTAAAGTCGCTTAGGGACGTAGTTTTCGTGGCAACACCAAAATCGGCAAGCTTGACTAAACCTTCTTTTGTCGTCAAAATGTTTGCACCCTTAATATCCCGATGTATTACACCTTGATCATGAAGGTAGAGTAAACCATCTAAAACTTGACTTATATATACAGCAACAAGGTTTTCTGGAAATTTTCCAAACTTTTTACATATATTATGCAGGGAACCATTCTCACAATATCTTTAAAATCGATTTAAATTAATATTGTTAATAAAAGGTCTATGTTGAAAAGTAAGATATACTCGCAATTTTTTTTTTTTTTTTTTTTTTTTTAAAAAAAAAAAAACTCACTCCAAAATTATATATAAAAATTCTTTTGTCTTGGCATATCCTTTGTATTGTACAATATTTTGATGCTTTAAATAATTTTTTTTAATAATAAAACAAAAAAATTATTAAAAAAGAAAAAAAAAAAAAAAGAAAAAAATATAGGGAACATTTTTAAGAACTTACGTCAAGATTTTTTAATAAATCAATTTCTGTCTAGTAATTAATTTGCATAGACATATCAATGGATTTTTGAAAAATCCAAAATTAAAAAAAAAAAGATCAAGTAAAGCTATAATAAAAAGACCTACCATAATAAAATTCAATTCGGATTTTGGTATGTTACTTAACTTCACACGTTTGACTGCTACAGCTTCGCCTGTTTCCCAGTTCAATGCTCGATAGACCGAACCAAAGGCGCCTTTCCCAATGCAGTCACCCAATTGCTAAACGAAAATTTTTCTTGAACGATTAAATCACTTGATCTAACAACAATTCAAAGAAAAAAAAGAAGAAAAATAATTATGATAATAACGCTTACGTATTGATCAATAGTTTGGTTTGTGGTATTAGATCCCATTGCGATACTTTTGAGTATAAATTAATAACTACCGAGTTTCACTAGGGTAAGAGAAGGGCATTGAAGAACACAAATAAGTGAATAGTTGATAAAGGGTGGTTGAAATATTTAAACAGAGTATTTATAACGGTTTAAGGGAAACTGGACGGGGGGGGGAAAGGAGTTGGTACTTTAAATAACGAGGGACGACCTTAAAGGTGAACTAATAAAGAACAACGAATTAATTAAAAACACCCAAATATCTAACATTCAAAAATAAAAAGATCTAAAGAAATCAATACCTTAATGTCTTCACGAGCAATGTGCACTAGACTAGATATATGAAAAAAAGTTTTTCGGTGCCAAATCGAATGTTTATAATTAATAATATTTTTTGTGGTAGCGTTGATCAACCGTACAACGACGAAATCGCGGAATTTTTTTTATCTTTTTTTTTACAAGGGCAAAAGGGGTATCGAAAAGTTTTTGTTCAATGCAAATCATTTAATCATAATATTTAAAGATAATGAAGGTATCGCCTTATTCGGCTAGATCTTTTACAACTGCGTCTGTGCTTTTGTTTTTATTTATGCACATTCGATAACAAAATCGAGCAATAAACATACAAAAAGGAAATCAATGTTTCGGGGTTCTATTTATCAATATATCATTTTAAAGACATGAAATTTATCATTATTTTCGCGGTAAACGAATTTTCCCTCGATATTTTTCTAGTCAAAAAATGTATTAACAATTGTTTAGGAACGCGGAGAAGTCTTGGAACTCGCTTCATGATTGTATGAGAAGTCAACATTGTCACATTTTAAATCGTTGAGACAAAGAAATTGTTGATTTTATTCGTTTTATTGAACCCTGCATGTGCAGCATCACCCTAACCACTAATTTTAAAAAAATTTATTATTTGAATCTACATCTCGAGTTGTCGGAAACGTTCATTCTAAATTAATTAAATCTTCATCTTGTACGTACTGTAATAAAATTTTGAATATTTTGTCCCTTCATTTGAATAGTAATATTTGAAATTCACGTGATCCCAACTAAAATTTTATTAAACTTTAAAACAAATAAAGTTTTATGCTAGTGTTTCACACAATGTTCTATTAAATCGCTCGACAAGGCCATTGGTCTGAGGATGATATGCAGTTATCAGCTTATGCTTTACCCCCAATTCTTCACATAGAGAATCTAGCATTTGATTCACAAAATGTGTTTCTCTATCATTTAATAATTCTTTAGGGCATATAGGTTATCATTTTGATTATAATTTAGAAAAATCCATTAGAAATATTGAGACTTTGGCTAACAAATAAGCAAATTTTACAAATATTAAAGTATTTTTAATATTTAACTTATAAATTTGCTAAATTTTTTAGAATAATTTAACTTGCTAATATCTCTTTTGAACTAAATTTACAATTTTAATTAATTGACAACGGAAATCTCGAAGTCAACTGCTTTCTACCTGAACGTCTTCTAAATCTCTTTCGACGCCAAAAAAAAATATTACATTCAGCGTTCTCACAACAGTTCCAATAAATTTTTTATGAAGCAGAAAAGAATTAATTAGTTGAAGGAACGAGGGACACTCTCGAAAGAACGATGTGGGCATTTCCAAAAAATGTATTATAAATCAAATGAATTTTCGATATAATAAAGTTTATATTTGGAGATTTATTAATCTCAGTTTTATTTTAGTTTTTATTTTATTTTCTCTTCGGGGAGGATTCTTTTCCGATATTTGAATATCGAAAAACTTGGATTATTTGGTACTTGCTGATACGTAATTTGATCACCTTAGTTTGAATCCCCAAAAAAATATGCATATCCGAGGAGAAGGTTTCCTCCACCCTATCGCCAAGGCACAGTCAGTAAGGGGAATAGTTCACCCTTGCCACGCGTGATGGCAAAAAAGGAAAGGTCAATAAGTTTCTTTTGTTGAGAAACCCCGGAATTAAAAATATAATGACAGTTCCGCTATATATAATTTTGTTTAGTTAATTTCTCCGGAAAATTTTCTCATACGGAATGGCATAATCAACATCAAAACAAATTTATTTCATATGATGGAGAAATCACGTAATCACACAAATGAAATTGATTGGTTTTATTTATAATTTACAGTAATGGTTTGTCATATTCGTCTTAAATTATTGTATGTTTTAGCACGACAAATTATATAACTGCTAGCGGCTACACAAACTCCGCCACCGAATCCACCAAGCAACAAAGCTATTGTGGTTCCCACCGCTTCTTTTGTATTTGGAATGATATATTTATAACAACTTACATCTTCCGGTTTTATCGTTTCCTCTATTAGAAAAAGAGTTATCCATTTATAAATGTCATTTTCACTTAAATCTAAAATGTAAACATCGGAAGTTCGACCATGGGTTGGCGAAAATCCTAAAACAAGAGAGAAATTAAAAAAAAAAAATCCCGAAGAGGAAGGTCACATGAGCAATTAACACTGGCCTACCAAATGCTACTACCATATAATTACCAACCATAACGGCTGTGTGTAACCAAAGATCGGGAACAGGATAATATGATTTAGGTTGTGACCAAATATAAGGAGTTGTGGTAGTATTTAAAACGCACAGTTGTGGGTTAGCTGCGGTATCATTTACTTCACCTCCATAAATGATAATTCTTCCATCAGGAGCTAAATGATATTTTTTATTCGTTACACGACGGAATATTTTATTTAACAAAAAATCTGGGACGCACCTAAAACAGCCGTATGTTCTCCTCGGACTCCGGGAATGTTACCTTCTGCGATCTTTTTGGCAAAATTTTGCTCCAGAATTTATAATGTTTTTTTTTTAAAAAAAAAAAAAATAAATAAAATTTTTTTTTTTTTTGAAGAAATGCTTACCATTGTAGACCAACTGTCGTTATTAGTATCATAGATAAAAATCTATAAAATTGTAAACAAGTAAATAAATAGTTTAACGAACACAAAGCGACGAAAGAAAATGAAAAATAATAATTAATATAATAAATAATAATAAATTTCACACTTCGCTCATATCGACGTATTCATAAGTTTCATTGGGGAACCTTTGGATTCCTCCAATGTAAATTATAATTCCGTCTGGTAGTATTGCAACAGCATAACTTGTCCTTGGTATTGGAGCACCTTCTTTGGAGCCTTCATACCAGATTAAATTTACCGTGTCTAAAATGGTCATGTCATTGAAATCCGTTGTATTTGGATATCCTGTATATTTGTCAGCAGTTCCCCCGAATATATACATTTTTCCAGCATCATCACTTACGGCAGCAAAATTTCTCCTCCTTAGAGGAGTCGCTCCCTTTATGTTTGGTTTATTCCATTCTTCTTTATTCGTATCAAATACATAAACGAGAGCACTGTCATTATTAAATTCCATTTGACCCCCGAACAAAAAGATTAAATCATTGTTTACACCTCCAATTGCACTTGAAGCCCAACTATTTGCCGGTACTTTGCCTAAATGTGTAATGTCCGTCCATGATATTCTCCCTATCGTATTATTAAAAGGTATATCTGTAACATCAAGGTAAAAAAAATCGTTTGTTGGTCGATATGAACCACTTAAGACCATAACATCTCCCCCCAAGACATACAATTTATTTCCAATGAGATTTGCTGTCGGGGTATCCCTTGGTATGGTTTTTGCGCTTATAAAAATTAAAAAAGTGACCGAAAGAACGAATATACTTATCATGTTTATTTATTATAAGTTCTTTTTTTATTATTATTATTTTATTATTTTTATTATTTTATTTTTTAATTTTTTAATTTTTTTATTTATTTTCTTTTTTTTTTTAAAAAAAAAAAAATAACAAAAAAAAGTGATTGAATTTTTCGGAAAAAACAAAAAAAAAAAAAGTTGAATCGTATCACAATCTTATTTACATTTAATCTGCTTCCTTGGAGAATATTCTTAATCTTGTCCTTTTTTAGATTTTATTATATGCTCCGGGGGGACTCGAAATCTCGATATGATGTTGTAATCACTTCCGTACTTTAAAAAATCACTTAATTGATATTTGACCCTTTATCAAAAACAATTATCATATTTCGATTTAACCTGCATGATCTCTTTAACTGAGGCAAAAAATGATTCTTTTTCTTACGTAACTCCTCCCCCTTACTTAAAAAATCATTTTTAATTAGATTTTTTTTTTTTTATTTAACAGAAAAAAAAAGAATTAAATTATGGGGGAACATATTAAAAAAAAAATTAAATTTTTTTTTTCCTTAAATATAATAATAATAATAATAATAATAGGGTATTAATTAATAAATCGATTCGATTTATTATTTATTATGTTATTTCTCAATTTCAGTTTCGTTTTTTTTTTTTTTTTTTAAAAAAAAAATAAAAGATCCGAGGAAAGAATTAAATAAATTTCACGTTCGTATTATGCCAATTTATCTTTTAATTAATTAATTAATTTTTTTTTTTTATTTTCGATCCCAATGAAATAAAAAAAAAAAAAAAAAATTTATTGATATAAAGATGCTTGGCAAAATCTTTTGAAAGAAACGTTCCTTTTGAGAAATTTCATCTTCACTCTTTTAATTAAATTCTTTTCCTTGGTGAAAAACTTCCTTTCCGTAAATATTGTGATTGTGATTATTTCCCTCTCTCTCTCTTCGTCCCCAATACCTCTTTTTTTTTTTTTTTGTTTTTACTTGACAAGGAAAACATGATTTCATGTCGTTATAAATGATAATTTCTTACAAATTTTTTCACGGTACATTTTATCTCATCATCTTTAAATGCCTTTTTTTTTTTTATGCCTAGTATCTTTTAAGTAATAAATTATTTTGAAACATTAATTATATTAAAAATTTTAGACTCAAAAATGAATGATGAACTAGATCAAAATAAAAATCAAAAACAACTACAAACACAAGAATCATCCCCTCAATCACACCCAAAACAATTACAATCACGAGAACACTCATTACAATCCCTTTCCCAAACAGAACAACAGCAACTTAATCCTTGTAACAACAACGAATTAAGCGATATCAATAACACTAATCATAATTCTAACAGTCAACCCGAAAGCGTCATTACCATAGGTGACAACGAACAAGACAACGAATCGTTCAATTTTGATAATCATCCGTTCGTTGTTATTTCACAACATTCCAGTCAACAATATCCAACTCCTCGATTAATATCTGAAGACGAAGCAGAGGAGGTGTTCACCGAATTTTCGGATTCTGAATCAGAAAAGGTTCATAGTATAATTGATGAAGAAAATATGCCTTCGATAGAAAATGAAGGAATCTGTCTTACCTCTGAAAATTGGATAACTCGTAGAGATGAAACGGTAACGAGAATCGATCAGTTTATACAACGTGATAGAGTGATATTAATTAGAGCCCCACCGTTCACTGGGAAAACTTCCTTGTGTATCTTGTTAGAAGAATATTATCGTAGAAAAGATGTTCCGGTCCTACAAATATGTTTTTTAGGTGTTGAGGATATGACCTTTGAGGAATTTTGGATCAATGAAACTGGAAAAAGTTGGAAATATTGGCTTAACCCCAAACACGGTGAAAGGATTATCATATTAGATGAGACTCATCATATCTTTGACGGAGCCCAATATGAAACATTCTGGCTAAGAATAAAATCGTTGTGTCGTCAAGCTTCACTTGGTAGAGAAACTATAAAGGTCATCGCCTTTTCTACGGGAGGTAGATTGGCTACATCCGCTCAAAGTCCTGTGGATTTTCAACAGAAATTTGGATTCGGTTTAGTTCATTGTACGCCATCCGAATTAAAGGAATTAGTCGAAGCGTTTAATAAATACAATTCTAAAAAGAAGATTCATGTTAGTGAAAAAATTGCTCAACACATTATGGAATTCACCGCTGGACATTTGGGTCTGATTCGTTGGATATTAAACGGAATTGATAATTATTTCTCTTATCGCGGGACGAGTTACAAAATTACCACCGATCCCGAAATAATGTCATACTTTACGTCATCGGATTTCATTGAACATGTTAAAGCTCATCGTGGAGCTCCTCTTTACAAGTTTAATACTGCGGAAGGAGAAGTTATAGATAAACTTCTACTTAAGGATGAGTTACGTATTCATTCGACTGGTCCGGATGAAGCCGTAACTGCATTACTTAAAGCCGGAGTATTATTTTATATTGATGACAAAGGTCCAGAATTTATTTTGAGAGAAGGTCGAGTTGGGTTCGTTTCGCCTGTAGCTCGATTACTTTCATTCTTTCATCGTTGTGTGTCTTTTAAACAACCACTACAAGATGGTTTCACTTTACAAGAACTCGTTCGTGAAGCTTTATCAAGAGTCAATTCTAAAGCTTTGACTCATAACCTAGGACGATCAAAAGATGGGATGAGACTACTTGAGCGCGTTTGGCAAATGGAATTCTATAGAGCAATCTATAGTTGTTTACCTGATGAAATGCATATATCACCTGATGTAGGAAGGATCTTTGCGACAGATGGTGTAGTCGACTTTTACATATCTGAACCTCAATGGGCAATTGAACTTTTGATTGATGGAATTGACATGAAAAGACATCATGAGCGTTTTCAAGATGGTAATCTCTTTTTTTTTTATATATATATATTTTGGCCATTTTATATTATTTTATTTCATTATTTAATCGAATATTGGATTGGTTATCTTTATTGCTAACTTTCAACTTTTGTTTCATTTAGGAGGACGATATTCTTCGATTCCTATAAAGGATTATATCATTCTTGATATCCGTGAAACACGAACGGTAATCAAATTGTACCCTAATACCTGGCATATTACCCCAAACACTGATTTTACAAGTTTTAGCATAATAGAAGGAAACACGAGTTTTGATGTATCAGTAAGAAGAGTATTAAATCGGTCTAATATGAAAATATCTACAGAAGAATGTGAAGCGTTAGAATTTGAGATGAAAAGTTTAAAACGTAAACGAGATGATGATGAAGAACTTCAAGAATATAAAAAACGACAAAATAGAAGGGATGTGATTGAAAGTTTAGAAAAGTTGGTCGATTTCTTACAAAAAAGGGAAAGGTACCTGATGGAAAGGGGTGCAGTTGAAGAGGCCAAAGAGACTCAACGTGAACTTGATCGAGCTTCTGGAGAACTAACTAAAACTTTGTATGAATCACTTGGTCGATAAAATTTTTTAATTTGTGCCTTTTTTTTTTTCTAAAAAAAAAATTGTTTTGCTCGTTCGAAAATTTTTTTATCTCAGTTTTAACATTATTTAAATAAAGATAAGAAAAAATTTTTTTTCACGGTTTGATACCATGAATAACTTTAACTAATATATTTCTTTGGTAATCAGTTAAACCGAATAAATTATCTTTCGTTAACAAATATAATATGTAAGGACGACGGTTACGCAAATAGAAATTTGAAAAGAATCAGAAAACGCTTTTCATTATTAATATACTTGCTAAAAATAATCAATTATATCATAATAGTAGTACCGAAACAAGGTTCTTTTGCATTTCATTTCTTTTACACGTTTTATTGAAATAAATTATAATGCTGCTTCTACTTATTAAGTCACTTTCAAAATGACACATCTCCAATCTTATCATAAGGAATAAAGATATACCGAAATATCTTATTAATGCATATAACTATGCAAGGTCCCAAGCGATAAATTTAATGTAATATCATTTGAAGAAATTAAAAATACAATTATAAGTTATTGTAAAGCGGGTAAAATTTTACCGGTACATTCACCGAATCCAATCAAATAACCTTCCCCTTTACAATATCCTGTTAATATTATTTCATCTCCATCTTCAATAAATTTTCTTTTAATTCCATTCTCGAACTCAATTTCATTTTGTCCATTCCATGTAATCTCCAGTAAAGACCCTCTAGAATCTTCAGTCTAAAGCAAAAATATTTTAATTTTAATTAATTTTTAATTTGACTTGATAAATAATATAAAATAACTTACACGTCCACTTATAGTTCCAGTACCACATAAATCACCAGGGCGCATATTACACCCGTTTACCGTATGATGGACAAGTTGTTGCTTTAGAGACCAATACATGTACTTTAAATTTGATCTTGTTAACGTTTTGAAAGAATCACTTTCATTTGCTATTCAATAAAAGCAAAGATCGTTAAAGATATTTAAATTAAGTTGAATCGAGAAAATACACACTCAATCATTACGTTTCATTTTTACTTCTAATTGAATATCATATGCCGATGGAAAATTATGTTCGAGATAGGATAAAGGAGTCGGATCCTATAAAAACAAATAAAAAATAATAAAATAATTAAACAATTTTCGTTTTAAAATAAAAAGGATATAAAACTATATATATTAAGTTACAAACCTGAGTGGGTCCATTAGTTAAAAATGGTTCTAAGGCATCCAACATGACAACCCATGGTGAAATGGTTGTTCCAAAATTTTTACCCAAAAAAGGGCCTAATTGATAAAATAAATGATTTTATTAAGTTATATTAAAAAATAATAATGATTGTTTTATTCATATATAAAAATAATTCTTACCTAGCGGTACATATTCCCAGGCTGATATAATTAATATTACAATAGTATTCAACTAATTTTTCTGATTAATGGATTTAAAGGACATAAATAATAATATAATATATACTTTCCTTGTATATCCCGAGCTATTTAGAATGATTCATATGATCAGGTCAGATGAGTGAAAAAATGTAAATAATAAAAGAAATAAATAAACACTTCATTATTTACCACTCCAATCATTCATTAAAACCAGGCCAAAAATATGTTGACTTGCTTGATCAATCGGAATTCGCTCCCCGGGTTTATTACCTGAACCAACAAAGAATGCCTAAGTAATTTAAATGTATAAGAAAACTTATACTTTTTCGTTGCGATAAGAAGGATACGCTTTACCATTTCTAATTCAAAATCTAACTTGACGGAGGGACCGAAAATTGGAGGTTGATCTTTTACAGGTAATCTTTGTCCACATGGACGAACAATATCCGTTCCGGAAACAACAATTGAAGAAGACCGTCCGTGGTATCCAACCGGCAAATGTACCCTTGAACGTTTTTTTTTTAAGTTAATGTACCTTACAATATAAAACGAATCGATAAATACTAACCAATTAGGCATCAATGCATTATCTTTGCCTCTGAACATTACACCAACATTAGTTGCATGTTCTTTTGAAGCATAAAAATCCGTATAGTCTCCAATCTGGGCTGGTAAATGCATTTTAGCTGCTTGCTGTGCCACGAATGCTTTTTGTCGAAGCTGGTCATTGTCTCGTAATTTTGGATTACCATTTGACAATATGTTTTGTAAGAATCTTCGTGTAGCTTGCCATAACGGTTTTCCTAATGACATAAACGAATTTAAAGAAGACTATATAACACAAAAAATTAATAAATGAAAAAATTAATATAAAATGAGAATAAATTATTCGCATCATGTAATTATTACCTGAGAAAAAACATTCGATGGATCCTTCAATTCCGGAACATGTTCTTCAAATAAAGTAGTTATGGCAGTCAAGTCTAATATTTGGTCCCCTATAGCAACGCCGACTCGGGGCGTAGGCTATACATGAATTAAAAAATTAGGAAATAATTAAATGAAAATCATGCGTTCAACTCCAACTTACATTTTGCTGTGTAGAAAAGATTCCAAATGGTAAATTTTGAATAGGAAAATGTGAATCGAAAGGGATTTGTATAAAAGATTTCATGATTTCTTGGATTGAAGTTTAACAAGTTGCATCATATAAATAACAAAAATTGAGTCAGACGACCGTGAGAAATCGGTAGCTTATCTAATATGAACATTTTCACATTTGGAAGGTGCTACTAGTCGATGATCCTATTATCAATGTCGATCCTTTTATTTAAGCATTTTTATTTTTTAGCATCTACTATCGGAATTGGCAAGTATTATCGCATCACGCGATATCCAGCCTCTATTCTTCGTCAAGAAATTTTCTGAACATCATTCTGCGCATTGTTACCATTCATGATCTTTAGAATAAGATCACGTGTACCGATTACTTTGATCAGATTATAATAAGAATTCTATCTTATATCTTCGGGCTTAATTATTGCAAATTATTTACTATAAAGTTCCATTTGAATATCTAATAAAATATACATCTGAGAATTTATAAAATAAAGATATAGTTTAACAGCATTAATAGATGCTTTTGTTAAAATATTAGACTTCTTGAAAATTTCTCCAATAGCTAAGTTGCATTGATGGATAAAATATGATAAAAAATATATTCAGAATATTTAAAATGAAGTTATTGTCTACATAAAAATATAATAAATTAAAAAGAATTATTATTTTTATTTATTTTTTATTTTTTATTTTAATATATTTTAAAAATAAATTAATACTCTATAATATTTGTAATATTATTATATTATTATTTAAATTAAATTAAAATAACTTACTATGTTAAAGCATATGCTGCAGCATTATCACTTATAACTGCAGCTACTTTTATTAATTGTTGCTTTAATTCTTGTAATATTTCTTCAACATGTGGAATAACATCAATTGCATGCTCTCTTTGTCCACTTATATCTATTGTTTTTCACAATAAAGTTTCACCAGAAGGCAATATTATTATAACTTCAAATAATTCTTAATTTAGAATATTTTTCCATCTATCAAATACAAGTGTAATACTAACCTACTCATGTACTTAATTAAGTTTATCTCATTATAACTTATTAATATTTTTGACAGTTTGATCTATTATAGGATCAGATAGTTGTTTTTGATCTGATAATTTTAAATTTAAATTTAATCAATAAAAAAAAGCTTGAGTAGAAGAATTATTAACCTATTGAAAAGTCCAATTATTAGCCACTATCATTTTAATTAAAAGATCATTAAATATAGAAATTTCAATTTTAGTAATATTTTGCATAGCATATTTAAGTAGTGATTGCTTAGATTTTTCAACTTATTTTTTATTAAATTTAGAAAACTGACTTATAAAACTTGTAGAACTTGTAGAATTTGTTGAATTTGTTAAATTTATAAAAAAAACTTGTTATAAAAGCAGTATCATCATCATCTATAAATAATAAATCAATAACTAATTATTTTCTTTTAAAAGAAATATAAAAAAACTTTAAATTAATTATTCATATAAGCAGATGTTACTCACTCTGTTTATATTATAGTGACATTTAAATATGTTTATCAATTTTGATTTACTGATTTATTAATACATAATAATACGCACTTTTATTATATCAAGAACTAAACCATTTTTATGTGCCTTTTGTTCAAACACTCATAAATCAAAAAAACTCTCCAGATACACATATATACTTCACATTATAATAATAAAATTATACTATACTACTACTCATTTCTGATCAAGTCTGACGTTAAACTCAAAAAATACTAAGATATAATTGTTTTTCTTATTAACAAATGACTAGGATTTAATCGAACAAGTATAGGTTGTCATCATATTCATATAGACTTATTCCCTAAGCATATTTTTGCATATTTGTTTAAAAGTGAAACAACCTTTAATTATAATCCCTTATAACACAAATATCAATATTATTTTAAAAAAGTAGAAAGTGGATAAAACTGAGTTTACTTTTAAATTATTTCAACTAGGATACTAAATATTATAAAAATGTTCACACAAAAGGTTATATTTACATAAATAATGCAGATAAAAAATATAAAATCAAATTTTTATGACGTGAAAATAAATTATAACAAGAATCTTATGAATTTTTATGTGAATCTCTTATAGATGAATTTTATGTAACTTCTGGTGATTTTATCAAACAGTAAGAGAGTTAAATAAATATTTGATATTTATAATATATTACATTAAATTTATATATTACATTTATAGTCTTACAGATAAATTTCTCAATCCAACTTTACAATCTGAAAATATAACATTAGGGTTACTATTAGAATTTAATTATCCTATATATTCATTTATAGAATTTTTAATAATGTAATATAGATAAATGACATACAATAAAATAAATCAATTAATTCATAATGAATTAAAAGCATTAAAAATCAATATATTTTATTTTTATTATTTATTTTCATTATTAATAACATGAACTTTTTGCTGAAAAGTAATAGGTGTATTATAAATCAAATAATAAAATTAACAT